CTCTGTACAGCACATTTGCAACATTTCAGCCGTATATAACTTTGAGAATACAATTGATAATAAAATAGAAGTATACTACTTTTAATTCTCTATATAGAGCACTAAGATGCATAAGAAGTTACTCATTATCTCGAAACTAAAAAGAAGTGGGCCTAAATTTGCTATTAGGATTGAAATTTAACGTAAAGCGTGTATCGGAAACAAGCTGCAATATTGTACATTTGAGAACAATAAATAATATGTTTCTAAAGAAAAATAATTCAGAAAATGTTCAATTAGCGACGTATAATTTCAACTTACGTAATACTGAAAAAGTTCAAGTAAGTTGTACAGAGACTTTTTTCACTGATGCTTAGGAGAGAAATGGAATGAACGAGAAGTATGAATTCTTGACATATATTATAACATTTTGACTTCTTTATTTATAAAAAATAAAATTAAAAAGTTAAAAAATGGTGTACTTATGGCTCATCGCAGTTCAGAGATTGTTGTTATTGTTGCAGTGATAAACGGAAACCATTCTCCATATCGGCGCAGACGTCTGGAACAGAAATCATTGAAATCGTGTTGTTTACATGAACGGAGTTTTCATATGTACATCGGAAATTAATGTTAACAGTTTTTAAATAGATTTTACAAATAAAAATGTATAACAATTTTCCTTCAAAAATTGTACCGTCATTTTAAATCGTTTTTTAACGTCAATTTTCGAGATTCACCCAAAAATACATTAACGTATATAACCGAAACGCAATAATTTATGTTTCAGACAATTGGTTCGATATGGTGTGTTGGCCTGGGTTAAGCTCTGCAACATAAACTTTTAACGGCGATGAACCTCGAATCCATCGTTTTATAACTTTTCTTTATAGTTTTATTCCAATATCTGAAAATTGCGAAACATGTTAAAAAAACACGGTCCTCGTTTATTTAGGTTATTTCCAATCTTCTTCCGAGTATCAAGGTCACTTTTACGATTTCAAACGTATACATATATAGTTGGTTCATTAGTGCTATGTGTTTTAGTGCTATAGACACGTTATTTAATGAAAAACCACGTGTGATTTACACAGAGTTGTATTATTCGTGAACCTTGAAAAAAGTCATTGAATTCGTGGATCTTCTATAATTCCTTAGAATTACTCTTAGCATAAGTATGATACATCAAAAATCAGAAATAATTTGCCGCATATCGAAATTAACTCGAAAGTATTGTTGTTAGTTATCCGCGATGCCGATTGATCATCGCTATCGTCGTTCAACGTGTGTGAATTTGCTACCTGCCGCGTGCATTCGTGGCATGCAGTCAATTCAACAAAATGAGAAATATAAAGATATGACATAATTTTCGATCGAAAAGTTTGTGTGGTTTAAAACATTTTATATTTCGCTAAAAATTGCACGAAATTTCTAGCCAACACGATATGGTTGAGACAGAATAGTACTTTGCGATAGGAGTGAGAGAAATCGAACATTATAGGCAGGCGGTAAAGTTAGTCGCACGAGCCGGAGGCGAGTGCTAATCGTGGTACGAGTGTGGCGAGTGTGACAAACATCACGACCTGCGTATAATGTTTGCTTTACTTCACTAGTATCACATAATATTTTTAGTAACGCATGTATGAGAAGTGTTATTTTTCGTGACTCCAAAGTGAATGCGTTTGGTGACAGCATGCGAGAAGAAAGCACTAGTGCGAGAAGTAAAATTCGGCCGATATGCGCATGCGCAGCATTTTTATTGCATCCTTAATTATGAAGCACCACTTACTCCACACTTTGGAGGCACGACAAGTAGCACTTTTCATGCATGAGTTAGATAAATAATATAAAAAAAATAAAAATATTAAAATTAAGAATGGCATATTAGTTTAATTATAATAAAAATAATGTTCTAGCATTTGATGTGGAAAGTATTAGCTGAAAAACTCATTGTTATCTAAATCAGTGCCAACACGAAATTCTGACCAAAATATATCACACATTTGGTCAACCTGTTACGCTGTGTCACTGAAAATCGTAAACTAAGCTCGTAAATTGTTAGACGCAGCCAACTGTGTCTGACGAATATGGTTATGTTCCAGTTGTCAATGTTGACCTCACCACGTTACAACGTTGCATACTAGCCAGAAACGCATGCGGGTCAGCCCACACTGGTTCACACACTGCGCATTGAATGCACTGTAAAGACCAAACAGACTATTATGGCGTTAGACAATTACTGGCTGATCCACCATAAAGCCAAATGTCAAGGAATTTCTGCCGCTGCAGTGGAAACAGGAATTCGCGCGATTCTCTCCAGGAATTTCCTCAAACACGCAATTCATCGCGCAATACAATTTCAATAAAGCCGAACTAAAGGTTATTTTCGTTGGCGGTTTGAGGTTCGCTGTGGGTGGTTGAAAAAAATTTCGAAATTTTAAATTCAAACTTTAGTTACTGTCATACAAGAAAATGGTAAAAGAAAAAAACTAAAGGAAAGCAGTACCTATTACACTCGCATAGGAATTATCGACGGACGAAGCTCAACCACAAAATCCATAGATTAGAACTTCTAGTTTCTCCCTCTTACCGATCCACAGAAACAGTTTGCACTGATGCTGCCCGAGTGGTATGCAAAATATGCAAAATGGAGGTTGTACCTAATTTGGTAATCTTCTAGCATGAAACAAACGCCGCTACCGGTCCCATTGCTTTGCATATCTTCCATCGGAATATACATTTGCATGAAACGAACGGTCGTGCTTCGCGCCACCCTAAGTTGTTTACCTTTGTACTACCGAAAACTACCCAACCCGATGAGGCACCTTTCGACAAATAACGAGGATTCGTCAAGTAACGACAGGTTAGTTATTCTATAATAGAAGCTAATTTAAGAGAGAATGCTTGAGTTCTTACGAAACTAACCAAGCGTAAACAGTAATCAACGAAATGAAATGGACCGGAAATGAAGTATACCGGATGTACTGAATTCTCACAAATCCAAATACCATCAGGTACCACCTGACGTGTATATAACGTTCAAAAGTTCCATAGTAGAAAGTATAAGGACTTCTGCATTAACGTCAGTAGAAACGGTGCCATTCTGTCGTGATTCTTTGAGGCGCCAGAGCGCAAGCACAAAAAAAATTCGTGCTTTGAGACTGCCGCATCGATTTCTCTTCTAATTAATTCGAGCTTAATGATAGAGGAAATAAAAGGTGTTGAGTCGTGGGGTGCCTCTGAATTTGTATTGGTAATACATATATATATATATATATATATATATATATGCTAGTATATATAATTTGTTAAAATATATATATATATATGTATATAATATATATATATATATATGTATATGTATATGTTATATATATAGTCATAACCATAGTCATGAATGATTATGGCTGGCTCAAAGTCTCGTGTCAATACGAACCTCGTAACGTGAACCCCGATTGGCTTACGATAGTCAAACCACACCGTAAATCAACGCATTCTAAACTTTAAAGCGACCGGCGCATGTGATTGGTTATCAACTATAGATAACTCAATTCATACCAAATGACTTTCAGCTCCCTACGCCCTTTCAAACGCTGCTTTTATGAATAGAGACTTCATTCGCCCACGGATCTGGCTCGATTTCACGTACCTACGACCCTAACCACCCCTACCAAAATTTCATCTCTTTCAACTTCTACCTAAACCCTGAACATTCTCCACCACTCTCTCGATCTTCCATCCAACCCTGCCACGTTTGTGTATTAGTCCCTGTATTTTAAATCACCCGCTATAGTCTAACTTATTTTGTCGACTACTCCCGCTATATGTATATTCATACGTGCGCACATGTATCCAACGTATAAATATCTAATCCACCTCCATTTTGCTACCCTCACGTTCCATCTCCATTATCCATCTATTTTCGAAAGTCACAGTGTGACAGACATAGATGGAATTTTTTAAATCTCATACTAATCCACCCTCTCACTACGGAATGACAATGGTATTCCTGTATTATATATAAAGGACACTCGCATAATCCAAAGATGTGCCCTAAATTGAAGTTAATTTGTAAATTAATAAAATAATATAACATTCCTGCAAAAATTTAAATATTCATAAAATTCTTATTATGAAATGTCTATGAGACTATCAGCAAATTACCTCGTGACACACGTGAATTAATTTTTATTCGGATAATAAATGGGTCAATACTTATTAATTTAGGATATAAAAGTTTCCCGAAAACGTTCTTGCTTGAAAAAGAATTTTGCAAAAAGGAATTGCCATCAAAACTTCATATTGCTTCAGCAAAGCTGGGTAGGCCTACATAATATTAAAAAGAGAGGAGTTTATAACCAAAATTGCTCGTAGCGTAGGATAACATCTTACGATATAATCACAATGGATGATTGTCAAATTTTCCAGGCTGAAAGCCTTTTCTCGCAGCACGCAGGGAGTCTGGAGTACAATCAGAAGCCATAAACTCTCACAATTTCATGCAGTGTGCGAATCGAGCGCGCCTAAAATTCCAGTCATTGTAGAAACCAGACATCCAGGAAATGCGAATTCGCAGAAAAGGCTTTTATCAAAACGTTGCTCCTGACGTGACACATAGAATTCATTGAAAAGCAACGTCGTGCGAGATTCCAAGCAAAATCGATATGTCATATGTATTCTTACACGTGTGCCATAGAAAACTAACAAGATGCACTGATGTGAACTGGTTTCCGTTGCTCCGTTAGTTACTCGCCTATCAGTTCTACGTAATATTAATATTTGACTTTATTCTAGGTATTTATTGCTTTACTGAATTCAGATCAAATCCCGGAGCAATATGTTTTGCTTACTGAATTCCTATCCGCACCGTTGAGTCCGCCAACTTATTACAAAAGCGGGACACCGATTGAATAACGAGGCGGAGCCATGCGCGAGGCATCGAAAGAAATTGTCACGTAATTTCGTAGGAGAATATTTCAGTATATAAACGCGGCGTAATTTCCAATACAGCATCAGTAAGATCGCCGACAATTTTCGAGAAGGAGCAATGGCTTTCAAGGTGCGTTATCGTAATTCCACTGTGCGAGGATTCAGACCAGCCAGGAGTGAGAAATTCTCGTGCTCACGAAAGTATATTACTTCCAAGTATAAGTATTTATGCAGTGAATTTTTGTGGCAAAGAATACATCAGAATATTCGTAACTTTTATAACGTCGATAACTTTTCATTTTCACTTGCTTACTCAAAACCAAGAACCCCGATATCTCAGTATCACGGGAACCCTAAGGGGAGCTATAGAGAATTATTAACGTTTCTGCGAACCAGGCGAGAAAATATGATTATCGATCAATAGATTTCATTAATTTGAAATTAACGCGCCATCATAAATCATCGAGACATCCTATATCGATACAGAAAACAACAACCGAAAATTACGTTATGTGCGCATATGTCTGCTCATAAGAACCCGAGCTTATAAGAGTTGGCTTCTATAGAAACTCAAGAAAGATCATTAAACTCTTCTTCGGCATGCTATTATGAATTCGGTGCAGGGCCAATGGAGCGGGCAACAAACTTCCCCAAAATAGCTGCGCCGATAGTTTCCAATAACCGTTCGATCTCAGCGCACCGAAGTAAACGGCCAGCTTTCGAAATTGTGGCAAACTCGTGCCAGCTTATACGTTGCACGTATAGAGAATGAAAATCTCTGATCGTAACTAACTCGGGTTATACCAATTCCAGTTTGTCCCTGTGTTGGCCTTAGTGGCCCTGATGGTATCTTGTGTGGCTGCACACAAGGCTCACTCTTTCCAACATTACCATGGACCGGTAGAGGGTGAGGGTGTCAAAGTTGTCTGGCATGACAAACACGGTCACGAAGACCATGATTACAAGGCTCATCCGAAGTACGAGTTTGCTTATGGAGTCGAAGATCATCATACTAAAGATTTTCATGGTCAAAAGGAACACAGGGACGGTGAGTTGGCTAGATATTCTCTGAATAAGATATAGATGAAGTGTTCCAATTGGAAAAATTATTTAAAACAATATGAACGGTCTCATGTACTACATGTACTGTGTTCATTGTTTGTCCTTCTGATTTCTCGAAAAATAGGTAAGGACGTAGCTGGAGAGTACACTCTTCATGAACCCGGCGGCAACGTCAGGACGGTCAAGTATCACGCTGACCATCATGGCGGTTTCCATGCCGTTGTTCACAATTCCGGTGGAAACGACCACTCCGGGGGAACCTACGGTGGACACGGTCATGGGCACGGGCACGGGCATGGGCATGGGCATGGGCATGGGCATGGGCATGGGCATGGACACGGACATGGACATGGGCATGGGCATGGGCATGGACACGGACACGGCGATGACGATGATCACCATTAATAAATCACGGAGGCGTTACTGTGATATAAATTGTTGTAAATTGTTAACTCGTTCTTATAAATAAATCGTTTATACTGTCAAGCCACGCTTCTCGCGTTTCTGATCCTTTCCCGTGATTACGTCACGTTTATGTCATATCAGTAAGTGCCTATCAATGTATTAGACGTTGATATCAATAAATGTAGGTTCAGTACCTACACTGCGTGCTAGAAGATTTTATTAATGGACTGTAAGAGTAATTAAATTGGAAAATGAATTGCCATTAATATCTATAAATTATCTTCTCTATTTCAGAGGATAAATAACGACTGTAGCCGTACTCGATTGAATGTTTACTACCGATTGGCTTACCGTATAGAAAAATAAGAGAGCCCGCATCTCGCTGAGCCAGCCCGTATGCCGTCGGTAATAAATAGGGGAGAAATAAATAAAATTAGTCGACGAGCGCAGCGAAGGGTGGATAATCAAAGATTGATGCCAGTCCCTGACTCGCTTCATCTAATATCAGTCAAAAGAGTGATTGATTGAGATATTAAAACCTTTTATAGATACGCAACCTAAAAATCCACTAGGCTTACTCTTACTCTCTCTCTCTCCCATTCCCGCCCTCTTCCACTCCCTCTTTCGTCAGAAAGGATTTATAAACCATCGAGCGTCGGCGTGTCAACTGCGGTTTCCCTATCTTCTTTTATATAAAAAGAAAACAAGTGAAGATTATCGTAGCGCCAAAAAGTCATTCTTGATATAATGTCCTGTGACGTCTCTCTCTCTGTTTTTCGTTAGTCAGATACTAATATTTGTGGTTTTATACGAAGCACCTAAAAAAAATGGAATCTTATCGATTTTTTAAGGGGACGCTTATTGGTATGGATGACTTGTCACGGAAACGAGGCTGGAGGCGAGGAATCTTCCTATCTAAAAAATTTTGACATAGAAAGCACTATCGATTAATTTATTACATAAGATCGAAGCCTTCTCATGAAATAAATCTTTGAATTATTTCATAGAAAATATAAAAAATATGTATAACTGTATCTGGAAAAATACAGCATACGTATTTGTCATGAGGATCGGAGAATAAAAAGTAAATCTATCAACTTAACACCAAATCACTAAGAATTACTCTCGTATAGCTAATTATAAGATTGTTTGTGCGAAGTTTCCACGCTTTTAACCTCGTTTATATGCCAATAACCCATGCAAATAACCTGTTCCATTTCTCTTTAATATCCTATAAGAGGTATTCTTTTACAAATCGAACACTTTTTTCGACTGTAGAATTTAGATTCTCATGAAAATTTTTTTACAGCTTCTATTCAAGAAATAATGTGACACCTGTATCACGATTTTTGAGAGAAAATTTTTTTTTGATAGGTATATTTATTTTTAATTTTAATGATAATAGAAGAAATGATAATTACTCATGTATATAAAATTCATTATTTCTGGTTTTACTCATTCAATCGATTTCGTTTTTTTTTTAATTCCTTACCGTGTTATGTTAGCTCTTTAATGAATATGTAAATGATCTTCATTCTGTTATTTAAAAAAGTTATTAACAATTTTATTGTTTAAACAATTATTTTACATTTGCCCCCTCAATGAATAACATTTAAAAAAATACTATCGTGTGCAGTATGTTTTAATCTAAAAAACCCACACTTAAGAAATGTGGAGACTTTATTAGATCCGGCTTACGAGTTTAATGTGCTTTTTTTTACAGACCGAAACCAAGGAAGTCTCTGACAATTCATGTGCGGCCCTACATACAATTTTTGTGATAACGTATGCACGTGCACGGTTTTGCACTCAAATTTCACTTTTCTATTTTAGCATATATTTCCATGATTTTATAAAAAGTCACGTGTGACTTGCTAAAAATTCCATCACTTTCGAACTGTCAAAAGAACACATTGACCTTGTGAACCGACTATCGCTTCAGCTGTTATCATTCTACAACTATGTCAGACTACATGAGTCATGTCTTAGATCAACAGTTTAATGAGACATTGAACTCGCTCATGACGGCATATCACGACTCATGAAGCTTCAAATAGACTCTAGTGATAATAGATACACAGTAGCCATACAAAACCAGCATAGAGACACTTGTGATTCACTTTATGTAATAATACGAGTCTATGTTATTTGCGTTATTGCTACTAGCAGGTACAGTAAGAGTGAGTGCTGGCATTACATATGTATATGTAACATACCCACTACGCGTATCATGTAAAGGGAGTAATTTAAGATCAGCTATGAATTCGGAATTCAAAACGAGTGCTTTTATATTTCCAGCAAAATTATTTTGCATACAGTAAAGTTACCTATCAATGTTAAACCAAAAATATTGATAGTAAATATTACGAATAATAGATGGAAAATGAAAACTATTGATATAAAAATAATTAATGATCTTGCATTCGCGTTATCAAATTCGCACTTCCGCATTAATTTCGATCGGTAGCAAGAGCAGTAGCACTTTCGATTTTTGGCAGCTGTCCAATCAGTGTTAATTCAATTCTAGATTGGTTCTAGGTATAGTTCATCGCAGTAAAACAATAAGCTGGTAAAGTGGTAAATACTGGTTTTAAGTTTGCCTGCAAGACCCGCGTCTCCGTCAACGAAGTAGCCTCAATTATCCATTCAGTTACAAAACCACTAAGGCCTTTAACCTACGACTATCTACCTTGTCGGAAGCCGTAATGTAGTAGTACAGACTGCATGAAAAGGGCTACCGGAACTTCTTTTTATTGAGCAAAGAACTGTAACGCATAATCATACCATAATAACGGGTGTATATAATGGAACAAAAGGTAGGAGCAAGTCGGCAAGCGGCGTTGCTATAAACGTTCGCCGGCAACTAGCGGCCAACGGAACAAAGGCCAGTCGACATGATGGATTCACGGAAATGCAGGAAACAGTTATCATCGATCCTTCGTCGCGCTTCAAACGTAATGCATGTAATGTGCATAGAGTATAATTACGAGAAGCGAACGTGCATAAATATACATATACGTTATATGAATGTTTATATAGGCAGTAATAGCGAGAGCGCGTGCGCTTAACGCTCGAAAGTGAAACGTACCACGTGATGAGATGGACTAGAGATAAAATGAAAATTCTCATTAAGCTAACGAGTATGGTCCAAGCTATTCCGCTTATTCGACAGAAAAGCGATCATCCATTTAATACTACTCGAACGTACCTTATGTAAGCGATCCTCGTTCAACCTCTTGAAGTAAACGAACGTCGTTAACCATGAGGAAATTTGATCGGCTTCCAATCGCGATTGATTGTCGAGGACGCCGATCGTTTCTTCTCCTTCTCAAACGATTATCGTAACACAAGTTCGGCTTCAGTGAAAGCGTCACACACGATCGGTGAAGCGTGACCCAAGTGCAAGTAAACGGCGGGGATCTTGAACTTTGATTTTTACCTCGTTAGCAAAGGGTCATTGATTTCTAAGGGCTGCGTTCTTACAATTTTTTTGTAATAATTCTGTGACCGATAAGGGGGTGGAAGGGGGGGGGGTACCATAAAATCTCGCGTGGGATTCGCTCTAGCGCTTGCGAATTATTGGTAGCGCTAATGGCAACGGCAAGAGAAATTCCACGTGCGAAAGCATAAACCATGAAAACACGAGAGACACTCTCTCTGTCCTTTACACTTCTCATTACGTATTGCCATTTCTCTCTGGCTTCTCTCGTTCCGTCAATGGCTTTTTGCGTTTGTTCGTGTCTACACGCCCGGCTGATTCTACGGGCGGAAGTACTCGCGTGCCGCGCAGGTACCACAAGAAATTCGGCTGTCGCAAAACAGGGTCAGCGAAACCAATGGCGTGTAAATATTTGACAGACTGCTTGGACGGTGCTCGGACGTTTTACGTCGCCATTTTTCTCTCTCCTAATCTTTCTCTTATCGTCTCGTTCTCTATACCCTCATTTTCCACCCTTTGTGCCAGCTTGGAAGAAAAGGAAGGAAATGAATTTCTGCCTCTCGGATCCGAACGGAATCGACTCATTAGCCAAAACAGTCAACGGCAACTTACCGCCTTGGCTTCTGATTCGACCTGCCAATTCGCCGGTAATTAATCGCCAGTAAGGAAACTTAATTAATCATATCTGCTTCCCAGCGACTAAGATCGCCCTATATCACGAAAATCCTTTTATGTACTTTCATGGAGGCTAAAGAAACTTGGATTTCTCGTTAACCCTTCGACTGAGATTTCAAAAGAAGGGATACGTTAAATATCCGCCGGAAGAAATGAGATTTCGCACAATGTAGTTGATGTTGAATCATTGATCGAGCCTTTTTGGCATTTATAAATATTAGTAACAACATCGAAACAGTTCTCGTGTCCGGCGTATATCTGATAAGAACTTCATTGAAGGCAATTGCCGTACAAAAAAAAGAACGCCAAAAAAGTAATTATCAAAATAAACTAAACAATTAAAAACCATTGTCGTCGACACTCTTATCATCGTCTGGCCACCAAGGAGGAGGGGGGGGGGGCGAAGCGTAGATAGTGCCCAAAACGATGAAGAAATTTGAGTCCGGAGTAATCGCCCTAGAAGATTTCACCATGTATTGTCAACGTGCTGGATACGACCAAGCGGGAACGGCGCAGTCCAGAGAAATGTCCTGCACAAATGAAATTTCGGAAAGAATTTTAATTGAGCGGAGGACAACTCGAGCGTAAAAACACGGAAGGTAAAACGTTTCTGTTTTCTCTGTAAGGTGGTTTCCGTACGCGTACAAAGAAATACATGTGTGCTTACGAGGGTGGGGGAAATGGTAGGTGGATGGAAGAAAAAAAATAGGGAATAAAAGTGAAGAGAAAGACGGGAAAAAATCGGACATGCGAGGTGTTACGTAAAAGCGTTTTTTTAAGTCGTTCCAGCCGCCTACTGAAATTGGCCACTTACAGACAGTAATCAAAATGTAACGGATCGATCACACTGTCCCCACATTGTTCGTAAAATGCGTGTATAGGATACGTACTATTTGAAAATTCCCATATATACTTGATGACCATTAGGAATTGTGATTAACGTTATTTGAAAAACGATAATTGCTCTCGTCTCCGCGCTTATATTATTCGAATGAATCCTGCTTATAATTCTCAATCAGCCAGTTAAATGTCCCAGTTCGATTAATGGAAATGCATTTGACGACTGGTGAGTGAAAATAAATCCATGCTATCTATGTAAATATCATATTCAGTTGGCAAATCTGTCGAATAATCTACATTTATTACCAGATTTATTCTATCAATATCGCACTTCAAATATACGTTGCATATAATTGTGCGAGATCGTTATAACGAATAGTATTATTATCCATGGTGAAATTAGAAATTTCCGCATAGGGAAATATTATATAAAATTGGTGATAAAATTATGACGAATGCCATTCACTCCAAATGTCAACCTTTTCGTCGTTATACCTGAAATTTTCAGTTTGATGATATGAACTTGTCTTATTAAAAATTTCGAATGAAATAGGCTATAAATATACTGTTACGCTATTATATACTATTTATATTACGTTTCAATTTATCAATAAATATTTATTTACCTCGTGACACCGTATTGTATTAATAATGTAAATTTATTACTGTAAGCTAAAACTGCGTCACAAACCCTTTTGTATACATGATATAAATTTATAGTTTGAATAACAATAAAAAAAATCGATAATTCCATAGCACACTTTCAAAAAAAATTGCAATTCCCGTAAGTTAATATTTTCACGGGATATATAAAACTGGATTATCAGATGGGACAAAAATAAAAGTTCATGTGGACTTTAAAAATGATCGGAGTGATACGAAAAATTTATTATAAGAGTGGTTCTTATCGGCTACTAACTGTCATAGAAAACCAGTTTATCTGGAATACTTCAAAAATAAAGTGCTATCTATATCAAGTAATGGATATTGAATATTACCCAGTTTAAATATTCAGAGCCATTTGCATTTGAATTACTCAGCAAGCCATGATGATTACATTTGCTATATTAAGAAATAACTACTGTGTCATACATGTACATATATAGAATCATTTGTCAAAAAAAAGACATATCTAATTGTAACAAGAAATTCTTAAGAGCCTCACCAACGATACGTATGCATGGCTTGCCGCCGATTCCAAACGTATGCGATAAGTCTCAGAGTTTGCGTTCGGTATTCACAACATTTACTCTTTTCCACCGTCGACTACTTTTCGCTCGGTAATATAACACTTCCGCGAAAACTTTCAACAATTTCTTCTACAAACTATCGAACTTTACATAATTTCTCTAAGCGAGTTTGTGTATTGTATTAATATAACGATATGTATGCACATGTTCCTGGAAATAAAATTACCTGCATTGTGGGATCGCAAAGTTGTGTTAAATAAATCTACATTCAAAATATGATGTTTCTATAACTTAGAAACTCTCGACTCTGCGTTATCTTTGTGTATCTAGATCCATTGGCTAGAATTTCGAAAATTAAAATGGGAACAAAATTTTACTTATAATGATAGTAAAAAAAAAATGTTCATTTATCTTGAGGTATGACTATATCGAGTACAGGATTGTAATTTATACGTTTTTACTTTCACGTTTACAATTTAATTATGTTTTTAGATATTTTTATGTTTCTCATAATTGTGTTTAACGATATAAACGTATCAGAAAGGTTCAGTTACGTATAGATAATTTAAATACAGTTAAGCTAGTTGTCGTGTAAAACCATTTTCGTCAGATTTTTTAAAAAATTGTATACCTAATTGTTTGTAATAATACCTTTAAAATGAGTCTAATTTTATTAAGATTCGCCGTTTAAAAGTATGGGAAAAAAATGTCAAAGTTTACAGTTTTTACATGGATTCACTATGTAATAGGTATATTGTATACACATTTCATTTTTTTTAATCTAAACGAGTCATGAGATATTAATAAAAAATAAATACGTGATAAATTGATATAAAGAGAATGCGAGTAAAAAATTTCAAAATTTTTTACCGTTTCGTTTCCAAGGTATCAATGGTTGAAATGAAGAATTCATCAAAATCTCGTAGCACGAGCCAACTGCGATGAATGACGTGAACGTTGCCGCGATCGTGATTGTTGTGCGTGTCCGTGTAGATGAAACAGATATTTCAATGTGTTTGAAAAAAGTGAACTGTTCGCTTTCAAAAGCGAACTTACTTTAATGAATAATAATAGTAAAATAGAATTAATTTAAACCTTCATAATTTATCCACGTTATTTAGTAACCTTAACTTATTTAGTAACTTAACATATTTTCTTACATATCGAAGTCTTCTTTAGTTCGCGGTGGCTTTCAAATATATTTTTGGTATCCAGGACAAGTCAAAGGATGCAAGAGGTAATGATATTAGTATTCTGAAAGTTGCTGAAGTATCTGTGGTATAGACTTGGAACTACGGCTGTAGTAGAGCTTAGAATTTGAGTAAAAATAACTTGTAATAATCGGGATTAATTTGACTAGTTTAAATACAGTTAACATATTTTCTTAAATATCAAAGTCTTCGGTAGTATAGTGGTCAGTATCCCCGCCTGTCACGCGGGAGACCGGGGTTCGATTCCCCGCCGGAGAGAAATTTTTTTTTTAAATTACAAATCATTCTCAGCATACAACTAAATATAATTATTTTATTTTTTTTATAACATATTACTTTTTAACACTTTATATACATTGTTATTCACGGCAAACGCACCAGCTAAAATCGGCCGTGAAATTTGAGTGGCCAATACAGACACATTCTCTCCTTACGTCTTATCATATCAAAGCAAGTGAACTATGAGTAAAAATAGAAATCCGTATTAGTTAATCAGATAGCCAGCAACTCATGATCAAAATGCTAAGTTTATTCACAGTCGAGAATCAATAGCTGATACATTAGCTAGAAATCGCTGTAAACGTATCTATTATATTCTCATATGTATTTATGGACTGTGTATACATATATTCCTCCAGCAATTGACTTATTGTTACCACAAATATGTTTAGTCAAATCGTAAAATAGGTGACATAACCATTATACGAAACATAATTATTAAAACTAAAATCAATCCCCATTCGTTTCCTTGATAAGATTTTTCATTTTCTTTTCTAACCTTTTCATTATCTTGCAATTAAACAATTTGTTTCTTGTCGTATAAAAAAGTAATACAGCAGAAAGCAAAAAATTATTTGAATAAACGGGAAGACGTACTTCCATCTGTCAAAATGATTTTAATTAACATTACCACACGTTTTGCCAAAAACCTTGCTTGCTCGAAGACGTTGTATTAAAGGAGCACACGTAATTTGCTATTCTTCTTGCATTACAAAATACAACAACACTTTTTTGTCGAACACCATACAGAGTTGCCCAGGAGATGCTCTACTCGGTCCGGCTTCTCCAGATCGAATACCGTAGCAGGTGAAATATGGTCGAGTTGCCCTAATCTTTGCTATATACACTTAAAACATAACATAAACGCTGCTATGACAATAGAAGAGAAAGTCAAGCCACTGCATTCTCTTTAAGACGCGATAGTAAGAGTGAGAATAGTGCCGGCCAGAGTCGCTGAATAGTTTCCACATGTCTTGCACTACCCTCGTCTTCAAATTCAAAGACGACCATCAATTGTCAAACCCCATGCCTGGCTTTGCTCAATGTTGCGTTATCTGAACACCAAACGTCTGCTGTTCTTCATTATGAGAGAAACTTGTTATCTGTTTTACTTGGTCGTCAACAATTTCGCGGACGCTCTGTCTCAAAAGCCCCAAGATCACGTAAAGGAGCACGTACCAGTCCCGATAAAAAAATGCATAATTATTTTTAAATTCCACGTAGCATTAAGAAAAAGTGATGTTACATAAAGTGAAAAACGTTTGCAGCAGTAGAACAGTGACGTTATTCCAATCGCTTATGCGCATCTTATAGAAGACAGCAAACCGTACCAAGTGGGGCGTTGGCATCGCGACGCTCCTTCCCGACGCCACGCACCATGGCAGATGCAACATCGTATAACATCTACTTACGTATATGTACAGTACAAGATAGCTGCAGTATAAAAGCCTAGAGAGACGTTGGAAAGTTGCAGTTCTCACCTGACCACCTTTAATATTGAAATTGAAGAAATGGCTCTTAAGGTAGTCAAACAGATTGATAGACAACGAGACAAGTAGACAAATGGACGAGTAAACGTGTTGACGTATAAACCGGCAGAGAAATCGAGTGGAGTTCATGAGGGCGCGTTTCGGATCGTAAAGGGCGAAGGGAATCGAGCAACCGCCCTGGATACGTTCCTTGTGTGCGTTGATACTTTGTGTCCGTCATAATGCGTGAAATTGTACATCGTAACAAGCGAAATGCCTTATAACGGTTCAGTTTCAAGTTTACGGATACGTAAGGTAGGAAACGAGGAATCGATTCTGCCGTTCACGGGATGGATGAGGACCTGACGATAAAATTCATGGAAGGCCAAAGCGTTGAACCTTTGCACGTTCTGTAACGTAAATGGATACTAATCATAAAGTGATAGTGCGAGAAGCGTGCATGTCCTTGATAGACAGTGATAGCTTATTGATTATTAAGGTTAATTCTTGAAAAATTATTTAGAATTAGTCCGAAGAAATTTTAGTACGAAGGACAGTCTATATGATAATAGAAATATTGAAAATGTACTTTTTATACAGTCGTACGAAAAAAGTGTGTCCCTTTTAGAAATGAAATTCCTTCGCACCGTGATAAACAAGTTGCAAGATAATTATTTAAAAATTTTAATATCAATATAACAGTAATGAAACAATGAGGAATTTTTTTTGTGGGTGTTGCGATACACATTACGTGTATACTTTGCGTCTTAAAAATATATATATGTATATGTATTTCATTTTCTTTTAACAGGGCATGTATACCTTTTTGTACAACTGTATGTTTGGATGATATTGTGTGTATATTAAATAATTCGGTTACAGCTCGCCAGTCTCACGGTGGCTCTAAATCTTGTTTTGTGGAATATACAATGGACACGAGCCGGTGTGATTTCACTAGGAGGCGAGTCACTTGAGCACAATCCCCACGTGTCTCCGGCAAGTTCATTTATGCACTTTCACGGTCCGGTTGAAGGCCCTGAATATGAAGTGAAAGTTCCACATGTTGTTCATCGCAATGAGTATGATCATTTGCACGGTCAAGATCATGAGAATCATGGATACACGTTCGACTACGTAGCCCATCCGAAGTATGAATTTTCCTACGGTGTGGAGGATTATCATACGGGTGACTTCCACGCACAGAAGGAATCAAGAGACGGTAAGTTAAGGGTTTACTCCTGAGTAGATAGGTGAAAAGTAGACTTACTTTTATTTCGGCGACAATGCATTCTATTATAATCATTGATGGTGCGTTGGAAGACGGGTTTATTAGTGGGCTTATTAAGAAGCGTGTAAATTATGTTTTTGGAGAAGGCCTCTGCGGTGTCCCTGATTTAACGTTGTCAGTTCATCTGAAACAAAAAATCATTATTTTTTATTAATAAATGATATATTATGCTCTTACTGACTAGAGGAAAAAACAGGTTGTTGAGAAAATTGTGGCCATTTGACTTTGGATGTCGATTTTTGATATATTTTTCAAAGTTTCGAACCCATTTTTTATTGTATAATGCATTCAAGAGAAAAGTGAGGATATCAACGAGAAAGGGACCCTATCAAGTATATCGTCACACGTTTTCATGAACATCCTTCGAATCGTTTTCGAGATATCAGGGACACCGATTTTGAAAACCATGTTTTGACAAAAACGCGTTTAAAGTTTTACAAATTGTTTTCTTACTTCGTTACTTACCTCTCGTTACTTTCGAATCTCTCTTGATATTAGCTTTTTCCATTCTACTTCTTAAATTTGTATACACTGCACAACGCACCTATATCTACAGCTCTATACTTCCTGACTTCCAGCGACAAACCGACGAAATTTCACTCCATATATCTGAAACGCACGAGACTGCTCGCGCCGGCTGCTGCTCACTTAATCCCCCTATAACTTTTGCAATACTTCGAATTTTGCAATAAATATTGCAACATAATATTTTCACCATTACAGATGTTAAGAAAATGGGGAAAAAAACAATTGTTTAAAAATTCCATTTTGGCGTAAGCTCTTAAGTCGTTAAACCTTGAGTTGTCACATCCGATCTTGCGGACCGTGTAAATCCCTAGTAATATCCAAATATAATTCCAAGTTTAATATCGATTTTCTTAGATTACCCATAGCTTAACATATTCTAAATAATCGGCTGGAATTAGAATAGAAGTCTGAACGAGCTCTAACGTCATTTGAGATATTTATCAGATGATGAACGAGGAGCGAGAGGAGGGATAAGACGATGGAGGATCTAACGGCTCAATTTCTTCATAAATTTTACCACGCGGTATCCACATCGCTTTAACTTCCCTTTCTCTGCCACACTCGATCATCCCTAATGTCGCGACTGATACTAATACAGAAAGAAAAACACAAGGGTTGTTTTTGCACTCGTCGAGGGACACGAAAGAGGCTGAGTTCTCGCGTAGCTATTCGATGACCTTCAGTTCGTATTCGCTTAACTTCCTCGCGAGATGGCACTGTGTCTCGAAAGTTCAATCCTAGTAAAAAGCCGTTCAGCTATGCGACCTCAAAGTCCTTCATCCCTTCTGTCTTGCGAACGGTATGTTAATTGGCCGCCGTTTGACGCAGCCCTGTACAAGCCAAAAAAATAGATTCATCCACCCTAACCTAACAATCATCCACATGGTCGCTCTTTTCCTTCACGAGGCTTTTATTTATCTTTTTTTAAATCCATTTTAATTGTCTCACAGGAAGCAATGTTTCCGGAGAGTACAGCGTGATGGAGCCTGGTGGTACCATCAGGATTGTTAGCTACCATGCAGACAAAGATGGATTCCATGCAACGGTACGCACTTCCGGTCATAATGATCATTCCGGTGCTACTTATGGGGACCAGGGTCATTTTCAACAAGCCAAAGGTCATGCTGAACCTCAGGGTCAAGCTGAACATCATGAATTAGGTCTACAGGACGAACACGTTCTACAGGATTATCCTGCGGCTTATCCTGCTGACGGAGGTTACTGAACCGGAAATCCTGCATCATCAGCAGCACCACCTGTCGCTTCGTACCTGCATTCTGTTATCTTTTATACTTTTCACCCATTCACTTATTCCTATCCTTTGAATCCTCACGAGTGTTCATCTCCGTTATACCTTTCCACAAGTACCAAAGCCCCGTTACACATTGTACTAATCGTTTATTATTGTTTGTATTGCATTTGTAAATATGGTTATTCAATAAATGACGTTGTTTAGTGATAATTAAATTGATTATATGCGACAAGGATGAACGTTAAGTTCTTCAAGTATTTATAAAATGTCCAAGTATCCTATGAGGATGATAAGGACCTTGTTAAGAGAGACTCAAAGGATCGAAAGGATGATCCTTGATAACAAGGCGCGTATACGTTAAATTTACTAGGTCAACTCGTTCCGGCTCCACATATTTCCCTCTCGGTTTCAATCTCTTTTTCCCTCTTCGTAGGGGAGAGACAAATTGCGTCACTAAAGGATGGCGAGAATATGATGTAACCCATTAAGAAGATCACCGTGTGGAATTCAGGAATGAGATGGCAAAGTGGGTCGAATATCGCTTCGCACTGTTTCAGTATGACCTTAACAGCCAGGAACATATAATGAGGATAATAATAATGGCATAGGTAACGAGTCCCTGCGGATTTCCAAGTATCAGACTACAAATTACTCTCCTCGTATCAATTATCTTCTATCGTTATCATTGCATCTATGTGTTACCAATTTTCAACGGTTCAGATATACGTCACTGGATAATTCTCCTTCCCCGCTCTAAAATCTAGATAATTCGTTGTATATCAAACGGAGACTTGTTAAAAGGAATACCATTGAAATGCAATATTACTTTTTACTAACGACGTCTTTCAGCGTAATTAACATCAGATACAGTGGTACAAAGCATAAAGAAAACCAGAGCAAGGATCACTTGTGCGATGCACACGGATGAAACAGATAGATATCAGATATGCTTATTACGTCATGACCTATTAACCTTTCTGGAATTCATGAAAAGAAAAAAATAACTTCTATTACTAACAGCTGTTAATAAAAGTCGCAGGTAAACATAATTGAAGTAAGATTTACTGATCATCGGCGATGAAAATTTGAGAGGTGAGAACAATAAATAATGTGATGTGGTTTTCGATAGGAACCTATTCGCATCCACGCTGCAATTATAATTAATCAAACCCAAATGGACAGAGTGGTAGGAATGCATGCGGATAATCAATAGGTTTGCCATTGGAAGTAGCCAATAGCCAATACCCGATGGGCGAATCCTCTATTTCAATTGGCAGTAAAAAGGGGTAGGAGATGAAACTGGGGCCCGACGTTACCATCCTTTACCATATAGATCAGTACGGGGTTAATTTGTTAACTGCTAATTTGACCAAACTGCACCAATTGCATTTTGCTTCGCGATACTATAGCATCGAGAAATCGTTTGATATAATATTCGACAAATTTCACACTAAATAACGAATCTTTAATATAATTGGACAATATAAATGTACTTCGCTGATTGGCCGACCTGGCTATTTACCTATGTAACCCTATGTAGTATGAATATATTATACTTGTTGAAAGTAAGAGAAGAATTTCCAAATTTTGAGCCAGAATATTTTTACGTTAGAGAATATATCGCTTACTTTTATTACATTCCAATTTATCCGAGTTTGTATTTATAGAAACTCGAAATTATGCAAGATTTTTTTGAAACCACAAAACGAAATAACCTGTTATTCGTTTATACGTATCGGTATTTTCTTGAGCGCGAATACTGCATCAGAATAAGCTAGAGAGTTTCCAAAGCATAAAACGTATAGTAGTGTAAGTAGATGCTGAAGGGGAAAAAAAAACTTTGAAACATCATAGGAGAGAAAATCTACGAACTGCGAAAGCATCCACTGAACTCTAGATTCATATTTCGTTTTCGTTGAAAGTCTTGAAACGCGCTACTCTGACTGGTGAATATTAATCAAGTGGATAATAGCGAGCCATACTCACATTGGTAAAAGTTAATAATTGAAGGTAAATATAGACACTTCACACGTAACATACGAGGCAAAGCTTAACTTTTCAAAATGAAATTATTATAAAAATTGGCATAGGAAAACATATTGGAAATACGTAATTTTTTCGGTTATTGGTCTCCATACATTCTCCTTATGGTTCTTCGGTATCTATGGCTTCGTATCGTAGCTCCACGCGCGGGAAATTTAAAATTGAAGTTAGCCGTTTGCAGGATCGAATGCTGTTGCCATGCGAAAAAGGTTCAGTCCGTCCATGGAATTTATTTATGAAAAATGGATAAACCGTCAATTGCGAGGTGCCAATGCAATATAGTGTGGGCACGTAGAAGCAGTGGACGTATAGAGAGAGAAGGAGACAAACAGATATACGACCAAGTGGACAAACGAGGGATAGAGAGAGAAGCTAACTGTATGACCTACATTTAGTCTACGAGTCACAGTGCAGCCTCGGTTATTGATTCGCTTCGCTCTTAAACACAGCCTCCATTTCATTTCATTTGACCTCTTGCGTTATACACCCCATTCCACCCTTACCAACCTCTCCCTGCTATTCATCCCTCTTGATGCCGATGGATTCGCTAGTTCGCTTCCAAAAACCTTTCGCAACTCCGTCAATTTTAGCCTATTTTACGAACTCGCTGGCTCGACGAATGGTCCAGCTTCGCTAACTAGAATGCAGAATTGAATAGTGAAAGGAGGAAGAGATCAAAGAAAGGAAAGGTAGCACGGGGAAATGAGGAAGGAATAAATGAGGGGCAGAAGGCAAAAAAGGAAATGAAAGAAAAAGTACCTGCGGCATTCGATGTCTACCGCAGTTTGCAACACTGCGTGTCACATGGTGAATAGAACCACTTATTGACATATAGAGACGTAAGTATCACCTACGGCGGAATATAAAGGCTGTGAAATAATTCTGTAGGAAAACGATCAATGGTACTGTAAATTGTTACGAACTTTTACGATAGCATTTCTTGTGGGAGTTTATCAGGTTTCTTTGAACATAGCGTAATCATTCAATATTATTGATCACGTGCATTGTAACTTGAAAATTATTTTTTTTTGAAGGTAACGTAATTATTCGTTTTGTAATAAAAAATGTCAAGCAATTTTATTATTACAACTTCCATTTTATTTATATAGACAATTTTTCGGTTTCAGGCAATCTGTCAGTATACATATTTGGAATTATATCAGGGGTACTTGAAAAATTAACATTGCGTATGGACACCTTTAATATTGACGAGTTACCTTACTGTGAAATTATATAAATTTGATTGCTTTTGGTTTTAAAATTTAATTAAAACTTTTAAAATGAATTTACAGACGGTCCCATGTAAATATCTGAAGTTGATTAGAAGTTATATGACTTAAACCGGGTTAAGAAATCCTTACGCAGGTATGACTCGACCGCGAGAAGCATCAAAAGAGGATAGAGTACGTTGACGGAAAGCTCACTCGTCCCAAGAAGCAGAAAAAACGGAAGTATGAGGTGAAATGTATGGTGTTGGAATTGTAGATTGATGGTAATTTACGTTAAAAAAATTATTTTCATTGTAATAATTATTATTATGATTGTTATTATTTAATTAAATTTGAATAATAATTCACAATTAATTAAATACATATATATTTATATGCATGAACACATATATATTGATATACATTGTGACGTGTTCCGTTCATCGGCGTCGCCTACAAATAATCCGTGGCTGCTCCCAACGTGCTGAAATCGAAGAAAAGATCCGAAGATCTAATTGTTGGGCGCCAGGTGCGGCTTTCCCGCACCACCATCCCTCACCACGGCCGTTTTCAGGTTTCCCGGCGGCTCAGCCTCAGCGCACTGAAAATGGTAGAGGGGAACATGGGGGCGACGAGAGAGAATTTGAAGTCAACCGATAGGCGCGCAAAATAATAAGACAGCAAGTAGGATACCGTTCCGTTTATTACCATCAAATAAACGGCGGATTTTACAATACAAATCCCGTCGCGTACAGTGTGTCCTCCAACGGCGGCTCGCGACTATTCCGAGTCGTGATTTCTAGCCTGCCCAAGACCTGTCCCTATTTCGGTGTCCCTACCGAATCCGCGAATCCCCTCGCGATCCTAACAGGTCTCGTTGGAGACGAGCCTTTCCTTCCTCGGGAGTGTGCCCTCTGACGTCGGTAGCCACCTGAGGCATCCGTGTATCCGCACCACTCCCGCTCGGCTATCTCCTCGCACAAGATATTCTCTAAATAAGACCGCCCTTGCGGTACTTAGCGAGAACCGGCTGTCCCATCAGTCCCGTATCAAATCCAAATCGTGGTGGCCGTGTCCCTTCCGCCTATCCCCGTGCCGCATCCCGGCTCCACGAGGGTGTACATCAAACACTCGGTATACAACACACACTCGGCCATGCACTGGTACTAGACCATAACAAAATCCCGGGAGCCATGGTTCTCTGCGAGAGATCCCGATAATCGCGATCCGCGATTATCCGATAGCTCCGCTATCGCCCGAGCACGGAAGAAGGACTTATTTTTCGCGGTCCGCCGGACACCCGTGTCCTTACACGCGGACTCCCCGCGACACACTCTCTTTATCCTACCTACCGCTCTTCGCGGTAGGTCAAAAATCAAAACAAATCTCCTCTCCGGCGCCCTCCCCGCGGATCCGCAAACCGTAGCCGTTCAAAGTTCCCGGGGTACCGGCAGTGCGTCCTGGCGGTTGAGCACCCCTTGCGTGCAGGCTCTCAACCCAAAAGGGCTCCGTGCCTCCGCCGCCAGTCCACTACTTTCCCCCGTTCCCTCCTCCCAACCTCGGACCAACGAACTCTTTGGAGATGGAGGCTGGAGGCACTGCCGTGCTGTCGGCAGCGCGCGGAGGTGCGGGGCTTCTGTAATGTGTCGTCCTGACGCCACGTTACAACATATAAGATTATTTCACTAACAAAATGGCTCGTAAAACTTTGAATGCTTTTTTATCAAAAATACGTTTTTCAAAACAGTGTACACGATATCTCGAGACCTAATTGATGAATAAACTTGAAATTTGGAAAACATGTTCATTGAAATGATAGCTATCATATGATGAGCTATTTTTTCGAGAATGTGTTTTGTTTATAAAATATTAATTTTTTAATTCAAATTTGGAGGTTAACAATTGATATAAGTTCAAGAATTTTTTC